CCTATGCTACAAGATTGTTGTGAGGTTCAAATGAGAACAGGTCTGAATATTTTTTTTTTTTTTTTTTTTTTTTTTAATGTGCTGTTTAGAGCAAATAAAGCAAAAACAGCAAAATACCACAAATCTATTACTGAAAGGTCTTAGTCTTAAAGGACACAGACTTTTCAGGGCCCACTGTAGAAACCATTCACTTCTTATCAAATAATGGTTGAAGCCCTATGCATTCCAAGAATTGCTCTTACGTACGTACTTTCAGAAAATCTGTTATTGTCCATTGTGTTGAGGATGTCAACTGTACGTCTTCTCTCATCGGGACCCATGAGTGAGTTTGGTGCCTTCTCCATCTTCTTCCTTGGCCTCCTACCTGAACCATCCCTAAACTCTTCCTCTATCATCTTTTTCCTAGGTTCCCTTCACCTGCGGTAGCAGCCATCATGGCATCTGCTTTTAGCTCAGCTTGTCGAGACAGTGCCGCTAAATGAAAGCAGGCCTGTCTGTTAGAGGGAGCTGAGTATACTTGTGCTTGTGCTCAGTTAGGTAAGGCACTTGAACTTTCCTAGAGGCCTTGCAGAGTTACGGTGTCTTCATCCCAATGGGTAGCTGTCATGGGAGGAGTCCAGGTACTGGGGTAGCCAATGGCGAAGCTATTTGGATCCTCAGGAGGATCTCTGAGCACTTTTCATTCACTATCATCTTCTAGAAGAGGTCTTCATTTACTATCAGAGTCTCTGCATTGATCTTTCAGGTTCAGCTGTCTCACTGGTACAATTGGGATTCCAACACTAAGAATATCGTTCTTTCAGGACGGTTGGAAGGAACAGATTGAAATGATCATGTTCAGGAATCAACTCTGTAAATGTTGACCTCCCATGTATATCAGTGAACTAGAGCTTCCAGAACAATATACCGCAGGCTGGGTGGCTTAAATCACAGAAATTTATTTCCTCATAGTTCTGGAGGCTGGACGTCCAAGATCAAGGTGTCAGCAGGGTTGGTTTCTGGTGAAGTCTCTCTCCTTCTTTCTGTGTCCTCACATGGCCTTCCCTTGATATGCACACAACCCTGTGCATCTCCTTTTGTGATACGGACACCAATCCTGTTGGTTTAGGGCCCCACCATTATGATCTCATTTAATCTTAATTGCCTCCTAAAAGCCTTGTTTCTGAATACAGTCACAACGAGTGCTAGGGATTCAACGCATGAATTTAGAGGGAGACACAATTCAGTCCATAACACCCAGTGTTCATGCAGAACAATATTATTATAATGCTCGTCTTGGAAACAAACACGAATAGGCCACACATTTTTTCCAAGGTGAAATCTTTGGAAAGTGAATCATCAGTAGGAACATTTCCAGAATAAAATTAGATTGTGCCCTTTCACCTCTTTATGCACCCGAATTCCAGCTGTCCGTCCAGCCCATATCAGACTGCATTTCTTCATTACAAATACCCCTTGGAGATCTGTGCAGTCACTGAACAGGGAATCATTTCCCCAGGGATCCTGCTGATCCTGGCCGGCACTCAGAGCTTTCTCAGCTTCTGGGCTGTGAGCATAGATGTGGGCCCTGGACTTCCCGGAGTTTTCCTCTCACCAGCTTCTCACCTGGAGCTATGCCATGGAATAATGCAGTTTCTATCTGCAGCTCAGGATAACTGACTGACTGAGAACAATCCTTGTTTGTTTGCTTGCCCAGCATTGAAAGGGCCAAATAAAAAATCATTCTTCTGAATAGAAATCCTATTTGGGGCGATTTCTATCAGGGGCCATCTCATCCATTGGCTGAGCTGTGGACTGTAGAAGAGAGACTCAGGGGGCAGACCACTGAGGATGGGAGGAACCTTGTCCAGGACAGGAAAGTAAGATCCCTATTCTTGCTCAGCCTGGGCATGAAGAGGAAATGAGTCAGAGGCTCCTATGAAGCAAACAGCAGCAGGAATGGAACCAAAATACCTATTATTAAGGATAACTCTTGATCAAACTAAAAGATTCTTTATTTCAAGGCTTCTTTTGGTCCTAAGCTATTTCCAGTAAAAAAAAAAAAAAAAAGAAATGAGTTTATAGAGCAGAAAAGGGACAAGTGCCTTCTCGTATTCACTTGGGGCTGCTTAGCCAATTCATTCAGCTCTTTGTCATGGGGCAAGTTGGGTCTGGGGACTGAAGGAGAGAGGTCAAGTCTTCCAACTCAGAGCTGGGGATGGTTGGAGACAGAAGCTGGAAGGAGCTCAGTAGAGAGCCAGCCCTCCAGTGTGTCCTATGCTGGGGGTGGAGGGGTGGTGCCCTGGCTTAAACTGCATTCTCTGTGCTTCTGAATTAATGTTACCATTTCTCCATTTTGTTCCTGTAGGTATAGTCATGCATTTATTTAACAAAGGCAACAGAACAGGAATGCTGGACACTGGAAATGCAGAGATTACTGGGAGACATCAGGACACTTGAAATCTGGAGGAGGAAACCTAAGAGGTGGGTGGGAACCAGGTTTGGTTTATTCAGCTGCTTAAATATGTCACTGAGGACGCAGTTCTCTGTTATACCAACTACAGCCTCTATTTCAACCTGAAGCCTTTGTTGGCTCACAATTGTGGCCAGTAGTAGAGTAAAGGGGGCTATTCACTGTCTTGTCCATACCCACAGGGGAGAGAGAAAGCCTCTTCTCAAACCATAAAACTTCCATGGGGCCAACTTAGATGCATAACCCTGGTCCTGTCACTATTGTTAGTGCAATGCCATCCTGGGACCCAATGCCATTCTGATCCCAACTCTTGAAGGAGTCAGAGGTACCACGATGGGCTGAGACAAGCCAGAAGTCTCAGATGAGTGTGAAACCACTTTGCTGGTCCACACTGGGAAGATGGGATGGGGCCTTAGAAGAAGCCATTGCACAAACCATACCAGATGATATATAGCCCATAAAACCTAAAATATTTAAAAGTTTACCAAACGCTGCTCTTCTAATAGAGTAGTATTAAAATTTTAGCAACGTCGGAAATGATTTTTTACATTGTTATGACTAAGTGAACATTGCTTATTGTAAGCCCAAGTGATGCACTGTGATAATATTCCCTTGTACATTTTTTTGAATCTGGTCTTAATAATTGTACTGATTTTTCACCAGTCCAGTTTTTCAACTCTCTTCAATCATTGCCAGGCTCTAGAAAATGTATTGAATGTCTATTAATGTTATTTTTTTAAGCATAATTTATTGTCAAACTGGCTTACATACAACACCGAGAGCTCATCCCAACAAGTGCCCTCCTCAATGCCCATGTCCCATTTTCCCCTCTCCCCCACCAGCCCCCATCAGCCCTCAGTTTGTTCTCTGTATTTAAGAGTCTCTTGTGGTTTGCCTCCCTCCCTTTGTGTTTGTAACTATTCCCCCCCCCACCTCCTTCCCCTATGGCCTTCTGTTAAGTTTCTCAACATCCACATTGCTTTTAAATCCCAAAAATGTTTTGCATCGTGGGTCAATGTTTGTGTCCCCCAAAACCCATATGTTGAATCCCTGATGTGATGGTATTTGGAGGGGGAGGCTTTGGGAGGTACCTAGCTCATGAGGGCGGAGCCATGGTAAATCAGATTTGTGCCCCTACAAGAACAGAGAGATGATCTTCCTCTTCTGTGTACCTTTTTTGTTCTATTTTTATCTCAAAAAACTTGTGGAAATCTATTATCCACAATATTATCTGTGGATAATATCTGTGGAAATATTATCTGCTTAATATTTCCATTCTTGTTCCCTTTGTCATTGTGGGTTTATACTTGTTTTTTTTTCCTTTGTTAGTATTTTAGTTGGAGGAGAGTTCATCAAAGCCTATGGTCAATATATTCTGCTTAACTGTAGGTGTAAATAACTCTACTACAGCTAGAATGTTAAGGAAAAGACAGAGGTGCAGAATGTACTATGAGGGATCCAAGGATTTCCCTTTGGTGATTGTCATGGACAATTTCATGGGAAAAGGGGATACTTGAGCTCAACCTGATGGATTGATATTAATCAGGCAGGTGGATGTGGGGTATGGGAAAGCAGTTCAGGCAATGGAAGGATTAAGGGCAAAGGCAATAGGGTGGGGAAGGATGGGGCACTCAGAATAACATACACAGACCATTGTCTGATTTTCCTAGAGTCTTAGTTGTTCATTCCAGAAAAGGGCAGGGCAGAAACGAAAGATGGGAAGTAGAAAAAAGAAAAAAAAAAAAGCAGATTTTTCAATGTCAGGAAGGAAACAGGTGGACTCATTTTCCAAGGAAGACTAATCTACAGGTGTAAGGAGTCAATTGGTAAGAAATAGTTCACAGTAGAGGTGTTCAGAGCTGATGGTGTCTGCAATATTGTAATTCATAGGAAATGTATATTTGGTCTTTGTCCACCTTTCCTGGCTTACAGTTCCCAAGACCCTTGGAATTTCCATAGCAATAAAAGCAATGGGCATATCTTTGTTATAATATTTGGTCTCTTGTCCTTAGTTTCTGAGTCTTTCAGAGTCACAAAGGTGAAATGGGTGTCTTATTAGCCACAAGTTCCTTTCCAGAACAACAGGGTTTATGTTAAAGATGTATTTTTTGGAAAGCATGAAAGATGGGAGCTGGTTGCCAGGGAAACCCACCTGAATAGAGGGTTGGAACTTTCAGCCCCACCCCCTGACCTCTGGGGAGGAGGGAAGAGAGTGGAGATTGAGTTCAATCATTAATGGCCAAGGATTGAATCAATCATGTCTATGTAATGAAGCTTTCACAAAACCTTGAAAGGACAGGGTTCAGAGAGCTTCTGGTTTGGTGAGCACATGAAGATTTGGAGACAGTGAAGTGCTCAGAGAGGGTGTGGAAACTCTTGCACCCTTCCTACATACCTGGCCCTGTGCATCTCCTCCACCTGGCCGTTCTTGAATTATGTAACCTTTTATCGTAAACCAGTAAGTTCATAGGTAAAATGTTTCTCTGACTTCTGCCAGCCACTCTAGCAAATTAAACAAACCCAAAGTGGGGGGTTGTGGGAACCTCCAATCTATAGCAAGTTGGTCAGAAGCACAGATAATGACCCGGGCTTGATTCTGGTATCTGAAGTGGGCGATGGGGGATGGTAGGGATAGCTTGTAGGACTGAGCCCTTAACCCGTGGGATCTGACAGTATCTCCAGGTGGATAGTGTCAACATTGTGTTGAATTGTAGGACACTCACCTGGTGTCCTGAGCATGGCTTGATGATGTGATGGGGAAAAACTCCTCCACGCATTGTAATTGGTGATCAGAAATTTCAGTGTCTCAACATTTGCTCCAACAATGGAGTTGTTATTTTCTGGTTCTGTGCTAGGGGATAAATATGTATAACTGTAGGTCCCTGCACTCATGGAGCTCAGAGCCTGGGAAGAGCGGGCTGGTTAATAGTCAAACAAACATTACAAACGTAAAGATGGGATTGTGACAAAGAAAGTTCTCTGAAGGAGAGAAATTCAGGGGCTATGAGTCCCAGCTGAGAGATACTTGGCTCAGGAAGTTGGAGAAAACTTCCTGACTGAACGGCAGAATACTTGAATAGATTGAACTCTACAGTTGGATAAAATGGTTACCATTGAGTCTCCTAGAGTCTTACATAGGCTGGAAAAACCCATATTTCTCCGTCGGCAGACATGGCTTGGGGTGTCCTATGAGCTTGGACTCTGTCCTATAGACACAATTCGGTTTATCAGCACATGTAAGACTGAGCTTTGTTCTCAAGGTGTGGGGCTCAAGGTTAACATATAAACCGGTATTTCTTGAGTCTCATTATATGCCCAAAATTGTGCTCTTTCTCAAGAATTTATTTCATGAAATGTTCATTATAGTTTTATGAGCTAGCCAGATCCTCGTATAATTTCTACTTTATAAGTAAATAAATCTGGAGTTAGAGAAATGAATTATCTTATCAAAATGTCTTCTATAAGTGATGGGGCCAGAAACTGAACCTTGGTCTGTTTGAATCGTAAGATTGTCCTCTCAACCACTAAGATATGTGGTGCCCCACTTTTAGGGGAACAGTGATATGCTGGATGCCCTGAGCACACATTTGCACTCAGAGTTTAAAACCAACACAATCTCTGCCCTGGGTCAACCCTATAAGGTGGAAGGTATCTGTGTTCATACAGAACAACCTTTAGACCACAGGTCTCAGGAATGTTATCGAAATGAGCAAGGATTTTTCTCTAAATGCGTAGAGCATGAGAAGGCATTAGAAAAAATGAGGACTTTTCTTTCTTCTTACTGCCCAAAGCTCTGAGATGGTTAATGAAATTGATGGGTCAGGGCCCTCGGTTGCCTGAGGTTTATTAGTCTGATCTTTGAGTGGATCCAAACTGTAGGCACTCCAAACAGAGGCCACAAACCACAAGGCTGAGGCCCCGCTGATCTCCCTGCTTCTGAATGGCCCCACAGGACAGACAGACCCCATGGCCTCAGAAAGACTTATGAGCTTTGGCATCCTGTAGTGAAAAGAACAGGCATCTTCCCTCAGCCAACTGCCCTTAACACACTGAAAATATGATTCATGATTCATGAGAACTATTTCTTTCTTCAGAGGGACCCTCTGGCTTTGCTTTGGGTGCAGGAATAAGTTGGCCACAATCAACTCCCCTGAAGAAGTGGTTTCCCCACCACATAACTCTTCATTCTGAGGACAATGGCTTTGCTCAATGTGGTAAAGGGGAAGTTTAACCAAAGGAAAAACTGAGCCCACACTGATAAAACATCACTGTTATCAACAGACTGCCAGGTGTGAGAGCTGAAGCACCCTCGCCTTGCGATGACTTTGGGGGCACCCTCGGTATGTGTTTCCCAACTAACTGCCCCCCAGCATGGATGTGTCCCCCCCTAGAACCACTGGCAATGCCAGAGTTCAAGCAATTTGGCCGTTTAAACTGCGACTTACTCTCCAACTCTCCTGCATGCCTCACATAATTACATTTACCAAGGTTCACAGTTACACATTTACTAAAGGATATGACACTCACCTTTCTGGAGGCAGCCTCTGCAGCACCATGGAAGCCGCTTATGACTTGGAGTAGCTCCTGGTGTTGATTACCACATGCCTATTATATGTCAGAGAACTGTATTCGATGTTTGTCCTTGTTCTCGGATTTAATCCCCACCAGACTCTATCAGGAGAGTAGTAATTGTCTATTTTTAGAAATGGGTGCAAAGGATTAAGCTACTTTCTTAAGGTAGCATAGACGTTACAGAGCAGGATTTAAACCAGGGACGTCTGATGCAGAGGAATGTGCTTAGGCTGTCGTGCAAATGTCCCTATCTATTTTAATACGTGAACCAGGTCTCAGGGAGAACAGAGAATGGAAATCACATATGTTCCTGTATGCAATTCAGAAAGATCTTCAGTTCCCCCTAAATCCAAAAGTGTAAAGTTTTCCTGATTAAGAAACAGAGATGCCTACGTTTTTAACTTCCAAGTGGGAACTATGGCCCTTCTAGCGGACACCTTCCCTTGCAGGGAAAGCTTTCAGGTGTGAAGATGGAATCATGTGGGACAAGAAGTATATCCTTTCTTCTCAAAGGGGAAGAGTAACCCAGGGCTGGGTCTCTAATCCCACTCCCTGCCCAGCCAATGAAGGTGGGGACCAGGGAAGCCCCTGAATCCTAGAAGGCCATGCCCACCCCTCAGACAAATTAACTAGGGAAGATTCATATTTGGTCTGGTGCAGGAGCCACACACAGAGATCGCAAGGTTTTTATTTGATATATAATTTATAACACATACAACAAATTATACAGTAAGTTAACAAGGTAGACATGAATGTTATTTATTTTTAAAAAATGAATGTACAAGTATTTGGGGAAGCATGTGATCATGGAGGTTTCTTTTCTTTTTTTTTTTTTTTTTAGATGCTGATACATGTGTATTTTCCTAAAAGTTTTGAGACAACCATAATCTAAAGGGGGAGACTGATGCGACCGGAAAGCAGTACAAAGTACCATTGGGGTGATTACAAGGTGAAAACACTATGTTTGCACCTGGTCCTGGGAAAGGGGCAATAAAGGTGTAGAAGGAAAAGACTATCATTAGATATTATTATTATTATTATTATTATTATTAATGGTGATAGTAGCACTGGATAGACATACTGTTTAGACATTTAAACTATCAATAGATATTATTTTCAATTATTTAGATATTGTTATTAGTAGCACTATTTAGGCAATTTCGTTTGAATTTTCAGAGTTCTCCCCTCCCTTTTCCTTTTACAGGCTTTGGAATGGCTTAGAAGCTGCATCTAGGACATTATTCCTAAGGAAAGAAGCCTCCTTTACCGTGAAGGCCTGCCGATGTCGGGAGCTTCCTGCTCCCCCAGCAAAGCCTCTCCACACCTGTCGTACCTTAGGGTCTGAGGAGGGAGCGCTGGGGTGGAGTGGGCTCCGACCTCATGCTCCTGTCTCTACAGTTGCTCTTCCTTCCCTTTTTCCTCCTTCAGAGAACTGATGCATTGTTCATCCTCTTCGTGGGGTCCCTCATCACTAAACTCTGCATATCTGCTAATCATCAAAATGGCCCCTGGAGTCAATTTCCTAACATTCTGTCTGTCGTCTCCTCTCTGCTTCTACCAGTATGACCTTCCTTCATACCACCATCATTTATTGCTTAGAATACCACCACAGCTTCCTAAGCTTCCTCCCTGCTTCCAGACACACTTCTTTTAGTCAATCTTTACTCTACAGAGTAAACTTTCCAAAGCACACATGTGGGCCAAGCACTCCTGTTGAAACATTCTTCCTTTGTCCCTCATTCCCTAACTTGGTAAACCATGACCTCCACAGTCTGGCCTCAAGCTTGAATTCCCAACACAATCTGCCATGCTGCCTACATTCCAGACGTACACTATACATTTGACTTGTTTCTAGAATTTTCTTCAGAATGTTCCATGTGCCTTTCCCTTTCTTTCTCTATGGCACAATCTTTCCTGTCTTACAAAGCCTTGTTCCCAGGTTTTGTGACTCAGTTCCTAGACCATAGGAACAACTGATCCGGGTGTCTACTGCACCATAGCTCTTATGACCCTGTTGTCACTGTATATTTACATACCTATCTACCCTGTTAGATGAAGAGTTCCTTGGGGCACCTGAGTGGCTCAGTCAGTTAAGCATCCAGCTCTTGACTTTGGCTCAGGTCATGATCTCACGGTTTGTGGGTTCGAGCCCCAAGTTGGGTTCTGCACTGACAGTGTGGATCCTGCTTCTGATTCTCTGTCTCCCTCTGTCTCTGCCCCTCCTCCACTCGTGAGCTCTGTCTCGTCTCTCTCTCAAAATAAACAAACAAACAAACTTAAAATAAGAGAGTTCCTTGAGGAGGAATAGTGTCCTTTCATCATACTCTCTACACCAGTGGCTCTAGGCAGTTTTGAGTACCACGGTAGTTAAGCTGAATTCCTTCCTCCAATACAGGTCTTGACTGTCTCAACTAGTCAAGAGCCATGCATTTCCTCAATGAGAATTTTAAAGTCACTCAAACAGATAATGGCCATTACTGGATCTAAATATGATTGGCTTACTACCAACATGGTTCCACTAAGGGTTAAGAAATGCATTTTGCTTTGGAATCTAGAAATAAACCATCCTAGATAAAGCATCTGAATTCTGGTCAGAGTAGTTAGTACTCTAGGGAGGCACTAACACTCATTCACAATCAGGCTGCAAGATAAAAACCTCTTTTCTATCCTTAGCCTCAACCCTCTCTTGGTGGTCCAGACAGCCCAGGATACATGTGGGAATGACAAACATGGTTAGAATCAACTGGTACATATACAAAAGGGGGATGGAAGTCAGAAATGTTGAGATACATTTCAGAGATCAACATATTCTGGGAGTCCAAGAACGAAGGTATTTGGAGGAAAACCCACACCAGGTGAAGGCAGCTAGGGAGGGGCTGTCTAGGATTTCAGTGAATCTTTCAGTCATTACTGGGATAAGGCGATTCAGGTTTTTCTCCTACACCAGCTGTCCTTTCCTCTCTATTCCTCTTTATATTCTTTTGTGTACTCTTTCTTCCTTCCTTTTAGTCACTCAACCCTCAGAGGCATGCCAGCTCCTCTATATCTTTTCTAGAGACTGAGTGAAGGGGGAGTGATTACCATCACCTCTAGGCAGCTAGAGGAGAAGAGCTAAGGACATAAAAGTGAGCCACTTAGCTGGATACTTCTCATGCCCAGATTCAACTGTAAGGCTTTAAGAGGCTTTACTAGCAAGGACAAAGGATTGACCAATGCTCTGAAAAATACCAACCCAGGCTGCTGCAAGAAAACAGATCTCTTTAACTCTAGCTAAAATTCAGTGGGTGGAAGAATCTTAGTGGCCTTATCCATGGAATGGGAAATGATGTGTGTCTTCTGAAGGTAAAAAGCTACCTGCACTGAGTAGGAATGCTAGATGAATCCTGGTATCTGGTTGGCTTCATTGAAAGCAAGAAAAGGATCTTGTGTTGGGTTTAGAACTTCTGCATACGGTTGCATAGATTGTGCTCTGTTCAACTTTAGGAGATGCCATTTGCTTAACCTCTATAAGGTGATAATCACATACACTGTAATGTAAGTGAATCGCCCTAGAGTTGAGCAGTACATAAGCCACGTAAAGGGAAAACCTCTGACATGCCAGAGCAATCCTGGACCTCCAGTGACATAACTCCCACGGTTCAGTTGGATGAGCTTAATTTCTGGTTGGAAGGATACATGCATACTCTGGGGAACTTCTCCTCTAGAAGGAATATCAGGACCCATGTCTAACAAAAGACTTTTCCTGGGAGACTGATGTCAGAACTGATGTCATTTGCTTGCATAACAAAATCCAAACAAACAAGGCTTTCTTTTTTGTCCCCTCAGGAAATTGAAGAAGGAACTAAGAGTGGTTGAAGAGACACACGTGAATAAAGGAACCTGCTTTCTCTGTGGGAAATGGAAGGAATTTGATGAGAAGTAACTTCCCCGATGCAAGAGTAGACAACTCAAATGGGGTGCTGGTTTTTAGTGACTCGTTTTTTTTTTTTTTTAATGTTTACTTTTGAGAAAGAGAGCACAAGCAGGGAAGGGGCAGAAAGAGAGAGGGAGAGAGAGAATCCCAAGCAGGCTCCATGAATGGAGCCTGGAATGTACCCAGCAGGCTCCAGAGCCTGATACAGGGCTTGAACTCACAAACCATGAGATCATGAGATCATGACCTGAACCGAAGTCAGATGTTTAACAGACTGAGCCACCCAGGCATCCCCAAACATGGCAATTTAAAGAGAGTTTCTGCACTAGAATTTTTGAGGTGAGGTGAAAGGGATAGGAATAGTTCTTATACAGTACCTTGGAAGTGTCAGCACTATAGTGAGGTTCTACCGCAGCCTGAGATGTGCACATACGAGGATACCCCAAACCATGCCTCAACCCTCTAAAAGCTGGACAGTTACTGATCTTGCCCCTGGGTCTAATGAGAGCCACAGCAAACTGAACAGGGGAAGTAGGTTTGCTTTGGACTAGCATCTCCCAACCCAAACTTGTCACAAGGGACCATGTCCTTTTGACCTGGCCGTGACTCATGCTCCTGCCCATGTCCTCTGCTCTACCCATCTTTACCTTTGCATTTTATTTTTTCAGTCTGGGCAACCTCTGTATAATCTCACCTCCTCTGATGGCTTCAATTACAAGACATAAACTGATGATTTCCACAACTGGTCTTATCTCCAGCCCAGATTCTCCTCTGAACTCCAGACTCACAGTTCTAATCATCATCCAGGGGACAGCTCTAGTCGGACGTGTTATACTGAGGCTCTTTCTCCAAACCCACAATATCAAGATAAATTTGTATTTTGTTCTCTGCCCTTCTGTGATCAATTGGTTCTACACTTAGGGATGAATTGATTAAAGAGATATGATTCATATCATCCCTTAAAACCTCAATAATTCCCATTTTATAGGTGGGGTAAAATGAGACCTGAGGCTGATGTACACTGAGCCCAGAAGGTAAAAGTCTCATATAAGGTCGTTTATACTAAACAACAGACTTGCAATCTCAATGTACATTTTTATGAAGTCCAAACTTATGATTTTTAGTACATGATTCTAGGCTTAGGTTAGAATAATTTGTTTAACCGTATCGGTATTTAACATAAGGCCATTTCTTGGGCGCTTGGAAATCAGGTTTAAGTATCGTTGAAATTATCGTTACTATGCCCCTCTGGGTTTTGTATAATAACATTTACTGCCTCCACCCACCAACTCCAGCCCAGCAGCCTCCAGAACTTTGTGTTTCAGGTGTGTAAAGCTAGGCCTCAGCAACAACAAGAGTATTCTCTCACCATTACTTAACATTTCTGTTCAATGCTTAAAATAGAAATGGTGAAGAATGCATTGCCTTAGGTAAACCGTATCTGTTTATGATAAACCAAGGTTTGCAAGAGGATATTTTAAAAAGACTCATGACATATCTCTTTTGTACTTCAAAGGCCATTTGGTCCTGAGTCCAACAGGCAAAGTGGTTATTATGGTCCCATGTGGGAAAAGGCGGGTGAGGCTGGAATGTACCCAGTAAACATGAAACCCCATCCACAGAGCTCCACTTGCTCTCACTGCCCTGGTGAGGCTAATTGGAGGAGAGCAACCTTTTTTGAGAAAGGAAAGAAATTTCTGGATTTGAAGCAGATGTCTGGACCTTGCCGAATCTACACTGCAGGCTTTTAAAGGAAATATTGCAATAATTAGGAGTCCGGTTTGAAGTCAATGTGTTGCTGTAAAAATTAAGGATGTTTATAACTGTGGGAAGGTTCTCTTTAAAAACCCAATTCTGATTCCAATTTGCTAGCAAATTGCATCCTGGCCCCATGGAAGGAGTGATCAGGGGACCTGTTTAATAGATCAGGATCCTCAGTGTCCGAAGAAGAGTATTCGTTGATGTTGATGAAAAGTAAATATGAATTCTCATGTAGCATCCAGAATTTAAACAGAATATTTTCTCAGTTGATTTACAAAAAAGAAAAGAAAGACAAAAAAAAAAAC